TAATTAGTATTTCCTACACAGATGCTCTTATTTTTCAGTCCACAGCCCCCCTTCCCAGGGTTGATTAACCAAGTTAAGCCATTTTTTTTAATTAATATTTAGCACAAAAAAAAAATCAGTGTTTTCATACCAACATAAAAATGAAATTTATTTGAATGTAAATAATCACAATAATTATTGAGATAAAGCACAAAAATTAAATTTGTAGCCCTCAAAATCAAAACAGAAAGAAACCTAATTGTAATCCCTCATATGTCCTCAAAGGTAAAAACAACTGAGTCATGGGAGTGAATTGAAAAAGATCTTGGAGAACATTTTGTACACACTCTCTAACTTAGAAGTCAGAGGGGTTAGCTAATTTTTCCAAGGTCACACAGAATTAGCGGCAGAATCAAGATCCAAACTCAGATATTATCACTTGTCATTTTCTGACTTTTCATGATATTACTGGCTGTTCTGGTAGCCAGTGTTACCAGTAACCTATTCATATCCTTCCATATCCTAGCATGAACCTAAGCTGTGTGTGTTTCAGAGGTTCAGTGTTAACATTGCTCTATTCTCTGAGCATCATCATTTTCTTTCCCTCAGATGGTAGTGGAACACATTCTTCACCCACACTGTTGTAAGCCTGCTCAGAAGGACCAGGCTGGGCACTAGATGGTCGAATGTGACTGGGACGGGAGTTGACCCAGCCCACGAGTGCACCATCTGGTTCTCTGTCTTATCTGTGTTCTTCTGTTTAGCTGCCTTTTTTCTGTAGCGATAAGACAGGAGTTAGTATAACGATCATAAAGATTCACTCACTATAATTATCTACATGTACAGAGTCCCTACCATGTACCTGGCACTGCCTTAAGCACTTTATATGTTACCGCGAGCCCACCTGGCAGCCCTGTCAGGAAGACGGTTCGAGGAAACGAGACCACAGAAGTCACTGCTTGCTCAGTGACACATACTGGGGGGTGGCAGGAGTGGGGGGTGGACTCAGGTTCCTGTGAAGCCGGAGCTTCTACTCTATCCTATACCCTTTCATTTCAAACTCCTTTTAGTACACGAGTCACTGTGTGTTTCTAAACAGAGTTCAGATTGATGGCGAATTTCCCCTTTGTGTGGCACTGACATACTGTTACAGTGTCATTGAAGTATAATCCTGGTAGCAGCAGCTCAGGGATGGGACTGGGTTGTTAAGGTCCAGGGGTCACAGTGGGTTTTCATTTCATTTTTATGTTATGATCTCAGAGTCCAGGAGAAAATGATAACTTCACAAAAGTAAAGGTTAATGATATTCATCACAGGTCCTTTTTTGGGACATGTTATTCTTTTATAGAGCTGCCGCTATGAAATTAGTGAATGTTAATGATTTAAATACTGAATGAGTTGTATTTGTCTGTTCAGACCACCATAACAGACTACCATAGATTGCATGGCTTAAACAACAGAACTTTATTTTCTTACAGTTCTGGAGGCTGGAAAGTTCAAGATCAAGGCTATGGTAGGCTTCAATTTCTGATGAGAGCTCCTTTCCTGGCTTTCAGGTGGCCGCTCGGTTCTCACGCTCTGTTCTCACGTGGTCTCTCCTCTGAGCGTGAAGAGAGAGGGAGAGTGAGCTCTCTGGTGTCTCTTTTTATAAGGACAGTAATCCTATTGGATTAGGTCCCTACCCTTATGACCTCATTTAACCATTATTACCTCCTGAAGGCCCTATCTCCAAATACAGTCACATTGAGCATTAGGGCTTCAACATATGAATTGCAGTGGAGGGGACACAATTCAGTCCATAGCAATTGTTGATTTTTTTTCTTGCATTCAAAAGTCTCATTTCTTAATGAGAAAATACAAAACTTTGATATTTTCTATTATCCACAGGGAATATTTTAAATAACTAAACCTCTTAGAATTAGTTAACTTTCAATTCTTATTAAAATATTGAAATATTTTACATTATCCTTCAGTTTAAAAGATTGCATGATCTGTACTTGGTAATAATCCTAGCAGTCACCAGCATACTCTGCAATAATATGAAACTGCTGTTTGCTATTTCACCATTGTTTGCCTGTTCTCTGTATGGCTGTTTAAAGACGACAGTTGTTTAAAAAGGCACTGCAATAGGATCTCCACGTCCTGGTAGAAAATTAGAAGTGGAACTCGAGAGTTTGATAAAGAAATATTCTTCCTTTAAAAGACTATTTGGGATAAAACTAATTATTGTTGTAATAATGTCTAGCCCTGTTGTGATTGATAACGCAATGTTACGAGCTACCTTTAATTTTCTGAATTGGAATTATGATGATGACAAATCTAGCAATAATGGCTAATATTTACTTAATGCTTACTAAGTGCAGAGAACTATTCTAACTATGTTAGATGTAATGATTCTTTTAATCCTCACAGTAAACCCATGAGAAGGTCGTATATGTAGCCAGAATTTACCCTGACAGAAGTGAGGCATAAGGAAGTTAAATAATTTGCCTAAGACCGGACAGTTATGGGTGAATGAGTCAAGAAGTAGTTCTCAATGAATCAGGAAGTAATTAATTAGTAAGACCCTTGGTTATGTACAAGTTGTGAAAAACACTATAGTGAGTGGAAAAAAAGTGGGAGGGGGAGTCCTTTGCTACATAGAAATCAGAGTATAAGAAATGCTAAAGTTTGTGGTAGATGTCATAAGAGCAGCAATGAGCCCTGAAGAGATGAAGCTTCTGGAGAAGACCTTAAGGGCAGTGTTCCTCCATATGCCATCAGTGGATCACTTGGGACCAGAATCACCTGGGAAGTTTGTTTAAAATGAAGATTACTGGGCCCCATCCTAGAAAAAGTGGAAATGAATGAGGGTTGGAGCCCAGCAATCTGTGTTTTCATGAGGCTACTGCCTTAAAGGATGGATCTGTTTGGATAAAAAAAAAGGATAGCAACTTTCCCAGCAAGGCAACCACAGGAGCAAAGAGATGGGGGAAGTATGGTTTGTTTAGGAGGTACAGTAAGGAGAAAGGTCTCCAGGGAGATTGAAGAGGATGTTTTGGAGAGCAAAGCAGAACAAGACCAAATAAAGATATTAAGGCCAAGTTTAGGTAGGACTTATTTCACTTAGCATAATATTCTCTAGGTCCATCCATGTTGTCACAAATGGCAAGATTTCATTATTTTTTATGGCTGAGTAATATTCCATGGCCTATGTATACCACATCTTCTTTGTCCATTCATCTATTGATATAGACACTTAGGTTGCTTCCATATCTTGGCTATTGTGAATAATGCTGTCTATCTGTTACTTTTAATATGTGTTCTCAGAGTATTTTTTAATTTATTCAATCATTCAGTAAATATTTATTGAGCACATACTATGTGCTTTTTCTCTGAGTAAACTTTTAACTTGGGCCTGAGAATTTCTTTAAAACCATGGGCTTTTAACATTGGAAGGAAGGAACCTTGAAGATCAATTTCTTCATGTTTTAGGCAAGAGTAAACTGAAATCCAAATGAAATTGTTCAGGTCTCCCTATGTGTTAGCAGCAGAGCTGCTGGGAAAACCCAGATCTCTGTGTACCACCCTGAGTGATGTCAGAGGACAAACTTACTATGGGTTTGTCCTCATGCTTTTCCTTCCATGAAAGTCAAGCCAGTTCAGATCCATTTCAGTAGATTTGTCTCCTGAAATGAATAGCTCTGGAAAGATTTAATGGTAGCAGAAATACAGAATCTCTAATATCAAAGATTTAGAGGAAGCAAAATGTTCTGAATTTATTGTTTTTCCCTTAAAAAGTAACATTTTAATTGATATACCACCGTAGTGTCCTCCAGGTTTATGCTTGATATCTTGTTTGGACACTTTTGCCAACAATGTTAATAACTCACATTAAAAATGTGTTTAGCTGTCACGGCTGAAGGAAGCATCATATTTTTTAAAGTTTTGTGGGATTTATTTTTCCCTGAAATGAGGAAGGAGCATATATATGTAAAGAAGAAAGGAAGCATTCCATCATTGAACCATATTTTTTGAGTTGTATATTTTCATTCGGCTTTTTTTTTAAGTCTTACCTAAATAGATTATGAACTCTTCAGACACAAGGTCGGCTGTTTATTTGATCCCTGACATCCTTTTACTGACTCAGTGTGATATGCCTGTGAGGCATATCTTTCATCAACTATCAATCTTTGGGATTTTCTCCCAAATCCTTTTAACACTTACAGAACCAATGCTATGTTGAAACAAATGAAGTCACACACTTTTTTCTTCGTAAATTTTTTAAATTTTATTTAATTAATTTATTTTTGGCTGCATTGGGTCTTCGTTGCTGCGTGCGGGCTTTCTCTAGTTGCAGTGAGCGGGGGCCACTCTTCATTGCGGTGCGTGTGCTTCTCATTGCAGTGGCTTCTCTTGTTGCGGAGCACAGGCTCTAGGCGCACAGGCTTCAGTAGTTGCAGCACGTGGGCTCAGTAGTCGTGGCTCATGGGCTCCAGAGTGCAGGCTCAGTAATTGTGGCACGCGGGCTTAGTTGCTCCTTGGCATGTGGGATCTTCCCAGGCCAGGGCTCGAACCCGTGTCCCCTGCATTGGCAGGCGGATTCTAAACCACTGCACCACCAGGGAAGCCCAAGGCACACACTTCTGATCTGGAGGATATCACATGTTTTAATGAGAGAGAGACAGATGGTACTATGGGTTTGAGGGCATCACATCGCTATCAGCATTGAGATGTGATGCATGCATGTGATGCATGCACTCTTCTGCAGTAATAATATACCAAACTAGAGGGCTGTTCCACTTCCCAAAGAGTAGAATTCAGTGCATCTTCTTTGGCCTCATTGTTTGCATATTACGTTACGCTAAAAATTTAACAGTAATATTTTTTTCCTGAAAATTTGAGAAAAGCAAAGGCCATGGTTGGTTAATTAAAACCAAAGACCCCATCCATGTTTGTTAAATGTGGGCTGTTTCTACAGCCCTAACTGTTAAGTTTTTAAACCTGCCTGTGTTTGGTTTCCCTCATTTTTCTTCCTGAAGCTGCAAGAGAAATAATCTGGTTAGAGAGAGAAGAGCGAGCCAGGCAGCACTATGAAAAGCACCTGGAGGAGCGGAAGAAGAAGTTAGAAGAGCAGAGGCTGAAAGAGGAACGTAGGAGGGCTGCTGTGGAGGAGAAGCGAAGGCAGAGGCTCGAGGAGGACAAGGTGAGATGCTGCTCTGGGGGAAACGTGGGAGGCTCGTCTGTTTAAGAAACACAGCACGTTTACTGTGAAGTTTCCCGTTAAGGTGCTGGGATGCACACCAAGAATGTCTCAGAGGCAGCAGATTTACAGAGTCATAGTTTCTAGGGAGGTTGTGGTGTGGAAATCAGGTAGAGAATGGTATGATTGTCACTGTTGCCCCAGGAACTTTAAAAGCTCATTTCTCTGGTCTAGACCTATAACTTATTTATGTTTACTTCATCTATACTGAAGTCTTAAGACTACTCCCAGTAATTGGATTTCTGTAGGGCTTTACCATTTACAAACGTTTTCTCATAGATTGTCTCATTTAACTCTTACTCAATCCTTGAGTAAGTGTTGTCAGTTTTTGTGAAAATGGACATTTCGACTCAGAATAGGTAAGTTACAGAAAGTCGTACAATCCATTAAGTTGTGGGGTTAGGATTACCCATATCCGTAGATTCCAGATGCTGTTTTTAAAATACAGTACCACATGTGTTTAAGCTAAGACCTGCACTACCAGGCTTATGTGAGTTGATGGAAGCATCACACTCCCAGTACTAATAGTAATCGTCATTTATTTAAGTACCTGCTGTATGCCAAGCGTTTTATCAACTGGAACCTAATAATTTCAGTAACCCCCCACCCAGGTTGATATTACTCTCACCTTAAGGTGTAGGACTTAGGAAGTTTAAGTAGTACCTCTCTCTCCACTCTGCCTTAAGTTGAAGACTCCTCAGGCATCCAGGTGGAATCTAATCATCAGCTCCTCTCTTCCCTTTAAGGAACGCCATGAAGCCGTTGTACGACGTACAATGGAAAGGAGCCAGAAGCCAAAACAGAAGCATAACCGGTGGTCATGGGGAGGTGCTCTCCACGGGAGCCCCAGTATCCACAGCGCAGGTAAACAGACAGTAACCGCTTTCAAAAATCACTGTTTTTTTCTGGACAGTACAAGTCACAGTTGCTTTTTTATTCTGTGTTTGCAAAACAAAAATCCTGCGGAAATAATTAAGTTACACTTAAACGATGCTTCTACTGTTTGAGGATAAGAGGGTGATGGAGGTAAGAAGATAAGGTTCCCTCCCTCCACACAGGCTGATTTTCTCGTCCTTTACAAAATTCTTTAAAGAATTAGAAATCTATGCAATGTTTCTAAACAACTACTTTCAACTCTACATTATTTTAAGTAATTCATTTGCATAGTGGTTTCAGGATTATGGAATAGGTTAACCAGTTTCGTCTTTTTCTCTGGAAGAACCATAGCAATATTGACAATCAGAATCAATACTATGAGCTTATGTATTCTGACCCTAAAGTATATGCAACACTAAGGCTCTTCAAGAGAAAATACAGATTTCTGAAGCTAGAAATAGTAGATGTCCAAGCAAATGGATGTTCCCTTGTTCTTGAATTGACATAAAATCGTACTGAGATTTGGATTTAGTGAAAGGCTTTATTTTTGTACTGTAAATTCAATACACCTTGAATTTTATATAGTGTGTCAGTTCTTTTTCATTTGTGTGAGTCTAATAAGCTTTTTTTTTTTTTTTTTAATTTACTTTGAAAAATCATTGTCTTACATTCTGTCCCCAGGTGGTTTTGTTGAGTCATCATTCACCTTTCTCGATTTAGCAGGACTGGACCACCACTTCACAACTTTTGGTGGTACTAGAAAACCTGGTACAGACATCCTTGTGATTTGCTGATTGCCTGACCTGTAGCTAGCACCTCAGACCTAGGGCCAGTTCATCAATAGCTGAACCATCACCACCTTAGTCATAATGCATGCTTAATATCCTGTTGCATAGACCTAGATCTGGGACGTGGCACAGTGTTTCTCAAGTGTTGATAGTATGACTCAGGTGACTTAAAGGTATTGAAATAAAGTAATTACATGTACTATGTTTACTTTCTTTTTAAATGATCCTTTTGGATAAAACCTTAAAAAAATGTTTTTTCACTAATACATCACCAGGGCTCAAAGTACATCCAGTGTGGCTTTATCCACCCAACCGCCCCATCAGTACAGCTGTTGCCACTTTCAGTTTTAATCTGAATAACTATGGATTTTCGTTTGCTTTATTCTCTTTCATTCCTAACATTCAGTGTGTCTTCTATAACCCCTTCATTTAAAAAGATCTAAAAGCATGTTGCCACAACTTTGCAGTGAACCAAATTTGAAAGCATGTTTTTTTTCCCTTGGCTCTTCATGACCCAGTGGTATTTGCTGTGGGGCACATATCAAATCTGTGGTCATAAGGATCATTTACATGTGATATTTCATTCTAGGGATAATTTTGCATATTTGTTCCATGCAAAAAAGCTGTCATGGTATGTACTTTAAAACCTTACTTATTTTTCTTTTACCTGGCTTCCTGTTTTACATGTGCACGTTACACATGTAAACCTGTTACAGATTTTCAAACATTTTTGAGGGGAACTCAAGTTACTTAGCTTTACTTCTTGCTTCCACACTCAGTTCAATATATAACCTTTGTTATTGCCACTCAGAGCAAGAGAAACCAGTGTTGTATTTGTGAGCCGTTGGATAAAATCCTTTTTTATAAGGTTTGTAAATTAGAGAAAATTGCTCTTATACTGGAACAGAGTAGTTTGAAAATAATGGGAATTTGCCAAAATTCTCAAAGGTCAGAATGATGCGCTGAGATCTTGAGAGCAGTGACTAGGTCTTGATCACTTTGAGTACCCCTTACTTCACCACAAGGCCTAACTTGTGTGTGGTAGGTACAATGAACAAATCCTAGAAGTTGAATTTAATCCAGATTAAATCAGTGTGTTGTCTCACTGCTCCCACATCAGCTCGCACTGCTTTGTAAAACTTTATACGTTTTAAACCGATTCTTCATGAATCCTTTTGTGGATCTGTGTTTTGTTCAGAGAGGAAAAGAAAAAGATTAAAAATTCTTACATGTTAAGTAATATAATAAATACATATTATATCTCCATAATTTTAATGATGCATGTTAGGCCTGCATGTAGACACAATCTCCCCCCAACACATAAAGCAATATCAGAAAAGATATTGCTGTAAGATCTCCTAGAAATGACTTTCATTTTCCTTCCTTGTGCCCTTGAACCTCACATTTTATCATTAAGATGTTCCTTTTGACATTTTACCCTAAATCTTTTCTTTGTTAGGATTGCCCTAAGAGCCCATCAGTTAAGTGTAAATTTGAGTCACAGAAATGATGTTTGGTTATTTTCCTTTTAATAATTAAATTGCTTCATGTAAGTCAAGGATACTTCAATAAATAAAAAAAATTTTAATTTAATTGCTTCAACCGTAAAGATGAGTCCCTGTAGAAAACAGGAATGTCTGATGTTGGTGGAAGACTTGCTTATCTCCTGCACACTGTAAATAATGGCCCAAAATGGTTATTCTGTGGGGGAAATTTTAACATTTTTACCACCAGGGTTAGTTAGACCAGTGGGAACGGGGTTTGAAGGCCTCTCTCACGAGGAGTATTTTGGTTTGTTTTCAGTTTTAGAAGAAGCTAACCATAGAAAATAAAATAAAATATGACAAAACCCCTTTAACTTTGGCTATTATAGGCCAGAAAAACTCCCTGCATCCTACGTAAATATAATGATGAGATGTTTAGACTTTTCCTTATACACAGTTTTATTCAGGGAACGTGATTTACGCTAGTGAGTGTGGTTATAGCTTAGTTCCACTGTACGGAGAACAAACTATCAGAGCTGATTTTTGCCTTTTATACAGCTATTATTTCTCTTCTGCCTTGAACTTTAAGAATTACCCTAAAGTTATCCAACTGCAATAAGAATATTATTAATAAACTTAAAGAGAAAGAATTCTGATTTTCTTTGCATTGCTGCCAGTTTTGTTAGGCAGGTTTGTGGGCTGATTCTACATCTGTAAACCACACTAAACTCTGTGTTATGGGCACAGAGGAGTGGTTATTAGTGTACTTTAAAAAAAGAACTGCTCTGGGGGCCATTCTTACCACACCTAAAGGGTTTCTTTTTCTTTCCTTTTAATCTGTTTTTCTATAATGAACTTTAATGCCCTGGGTAAAATGACTCTACAAGCAAAGGTATCAGCAGACGCACAGAACCTGGTGTTCTTTTTATTCTAGTGTTTGCATTCTAGCTTACCAGCACTATTACTACCCCATTGTTCACACTTTGGGAAATCATGAAGGCGTTCACTTTTTTTTTTTTTTTGCGATACGCGGGCCTCTCACTGCTGTGGCCTCTCCCGTTGCGGAGCACAGGCTCCAGACGCGCAGGTTCAGCGGCCATGGCTCAGGGGCCCAGCCTCTCCGCGGCACGTGGGATCTTCCCGGACCGGGACGCGAACCCGTGTCCCCTGCATCGGCAGGCGGACTCTCAACCACTGCGCCACCAGGGAAGCCCAAGGCGTTCACTTTTATGGGCCCCTTTGTGCTTCACAGTCCCCTTCCATTTTTTTTCGTTGTCCTCCGCTGGCTTTCCTTTGGTCTTCCTACATTTGTTGTATTATAACAATATGCTTGAATTTCCCTAGCTGACTAACTGGTGAGCTGAATAGTTATTTTATATTTTTATTTTCCTATAAGAAAAATGAGTATTATTTCTAGCCTTTAAGTTACCTTTAAAATGTCCGCTTAGAAAACTGTGCTATAGTAAAGATCTAGTCATAGAGCTGAAAGCATCCAATCCTAGTTTTTCCTTCCATCAGTGAACTAGGAAATTGCAATCCTGCATGCTGGCTGTCAATTAGCATTATCTCCATTTGTTTTAGATCCAGACAGGAGGTCAGTTTCCACCATGAATCTTTCGAAACATGTTGATCCCGTCATTAGCAAGCGGCTCTCCTCTTCATCTGCAACTTTACTAAATTCTCCAGATAGAGGTACAGTCAAAAGGAAAACAAAAAAAGTGTTCTGTTATTTCCTTAATGCTTTTTTTTTCTGGATGTTTACAGATAAAAGTAAGCATCTGAAGTTGCTTTCCCTACGTTTCTTAAATAGGAAGAAAAAAACTTCAGAGTAAAAAAGCAATAAACGTCTGAGCAGCATTTTCCTTGCGACAAGAACGGTTCTCATTTTAGAACTTGGCTGAATGATTGCATTTAGCAGTGATGAAAGCGGTGCTTCTCTCAAGTTTTTAGTACATGAGTTTACAGCTCCAGAAATCACCCACTTATCCACCAACATGCAAATAATCTTTGCTATGAACATTTATTTCACTTCAATCAGATTGTCTTTGACTTTTCATCTGTACTTGGGGAGTTCCAGGCTTTAACTTTCTAAAAGACCTTTTTAAATGATTCATGTTGATAGATTTCATTTTGCTAATTTATTTCTCCTTTAACCAAACCTTTCTTACTGCATTTCTTGTGTGTGCGTGACTGGTTTTCTGGTGTCCATTCATTTAAAGGGATTTGGCCTAACTTCAAGAACATCATTATTTAAGCCTCCTAAAAATTTCAATATTCATAGTCCTCCAATTAACATTTTATTTGAATTTTGAGTTTTGTTCATCCCATGGATTTACAGTACATGAATGTTGAGTTACTTATGAAATGAAAGTTTTATTTTACGTATCATAGAATGAAAAATCGAGCTTTTAAGATAAGCTGCTTGTTTTACATAACTAAAATGATTTTAAATTTAAAAAACCAAAGAATTATTGTGCAATATGAAAACACATACTCTTTGAAAGTAACAAACTGTGGTGACTTTGAGTGCTTTATTAAGAAACTGATTGGTTTTGAAGTGTTTATAGTCTTTAAAAAGAATGTAATGTGTGCATGTTCTATGTGTGTGTATGTGTATTTGTATATTTTGTATTGTATAAAAGTTATGGTGTCATTGTTATGTACAATATAATGCGTTGATGTTATAATTAATCTCTTAAAGCAGTAAATGAATCAACTGCCTATTCTTGCCTTTTAACCTAAATCATTTTTTTTAACCTAGTTTGCCTAAATCGTTGATATTAGACATGTAGTCAAATTAATGGCCTTTTATATGTTAGAGAAAAGTATTATGAATTGAAGTTCCTTTCATAAGTAGCCTTTATTTTCAAACCAATTCCCTTAAAATAACGTAAAATATAGCATGCTATTCTTAACAGTTGTGTATTCATCTTTTCTTTGGGATTGGTCACTTAGCACTTGAATTTTATATTTTTATGAACGTGGGTCTAAGACAAACTATAACTGGGACTCACAGCAGTTTTCAGTTAAACCTTGGTCTATTGCCTCCTACAATCCCGTAGCCGAAACTGGGGCAAGGTTGGGGGTAGGCAGATGGGCAATAAACCGAACAGAGTACTGTCCACACTTCTGTGGATTGACAGTGCTGTGTCAACTAGAAATAAGATGTTTTGTAGACTCTGCATGACAATATCTGATTGAATATCCTTAAGTAATTGGATCTTAGAACTGGGAAAAATTTGTTGGTTGGCTCATCTACTTCAGTTGGGATAATAGAGTCCCTAAGAGGTGAAGGGCCTGACTTCAAATCCTACAAGTTAATCGCTGGAGAAGAGGGACTAGAACAGAGGTCACCAGCTCCCAACCCATGTTGTTGCTGCGCTGCATTTGTAGTTCTCTCCTTCATGGATGTCCTTCCTCACATCAATCCTGACTCCACGCACTCTTCCTTTGGGTGAGGTTAAGGGTCAGAGGCAGTTCAATAAGCAGTTCATAGCTGGGGCCAGGAAATTGCCCCTTGAATCATGGTGCAGGCCTGTAAAACCCAATGCTAAGCTGGACTAAAAGGATAAGGGGGAGAGCACTAAATTTACGGGTTCCATGTCTCCTTCCCCCTTATCAAAAGAACTGTGAACCAGTTCTGGTCTAACTGACGAGGTAAGCCTGGAAGAAAGATCCGCTTCATCCAGGGGCTCCCGTGTGGTCCAGGAAGCGATTTTTTTTTTTAAGTTAGGCAGAACCCTAGCACAGTGAGAGGGCTCTGTCTTTTAATGAGAATAGAAATCTTCTGCATTTGAACTTCTCTAATTTAGAGATTTAAGTAATTTAGTTAGTATAATTTCTTTTCTGCTATCTATTTTTTAAATTCGATTATGCTTTATTATCGAAGTAGAGAGCATTCTTATCAAATTATTAGAGGCTTTTACAGTCTGATCATAGAGAGTGTACACCATTACTAGATTGTTTGAGCTTTCTCAGCCCTACAGTACAGGCCTTAAAGCTGATATTAAACTGAAGCTCTGATACTATTAAAGTTGACATTCAGCTGGAATGCTCTGCTGGTTATTCAAAATGCTGGAATATTTCCATACCAGTTGGTAAATATCCACTTCCCCGAGCTGTGCTTCCCCAGGCCCTACAGAGTGTTATCTACTAGCTCTACTAGGAGAGCTCTACTGGTGCCTTGCCCCACCAGTTTTTAAATATTTTGATCATCACACCTGAATATAGTGTCACATAAACTGATAAAATGCCCGAGTTAAAGGAAATCCCTGATTACCAAAGATTTCTGTAATCTCTGCAACAGAGAGAATATTGCCCCTGGAAATTTTTGCATTAAAAATGTGTATTGCATATTATCTTAAGCTTCCTGCTTAACCAGCTTTTTTCTCAAGGAAGAAGAATAGGGCGTTTGAAAAAAGTAAGAAGGAAATTGGCTACTCTTTGCTGAAAATTAGTTCATACATTTTTTTCCCCAGGATCTAGATTAGAGGACATGGTGGAGGACCTAAAGCTGAATCCTGCCCACGTGTTCTGTTTGACCAGAGCAGGGGTTTTTTGTTCCTGTTTTAGATCTAATTAATTGCCATCATATTTAAAAATGTAAGATTTCATATGACATTTAGGTCAGGATGTGGCAACACTTGCCTGATTTCTGCATGGCACCCATCATCTGGAACTGAATAGTGATTTCCTGCTTGTGAAGGAACAGGGTAGCACAAATATCTCTAATGTTTGATTGTGTCCTTGGACCAGATGGTCTTTTATGGGAATTGTCAATATCTCATTTTAAGTGCTTAAGTAGGATCAATACTATAGTTGTTTCATGAGAATTAATACCTTTCCTTCGGGAGCTTATCATCTCACAATTAGGCCTCTCTAGGTTAAAAAAAAAATAAAATAAAGTAACTCTCCTGTACTAACCTTTACTAAAAAGTTATGGAAGAGATCTGTTTCCCTCTTGCTCAGAGCATAGTTATGAATGTGATAGAAGTGGAAACGTTTCTCCTCGCAAAATCTTTCATTCACAGTGTCGAAGCTATAAAACAAATCTCTTTGGATTTGCTTTAAACACCAGTCAGAGAGAGTGTTTAATGATCTTCATTTGAGGCAGATTCTTTGGTTGATGCCTTAAAGACCAACAGAAATAAAGTAATTGAGCTTCTCAGTCAAGGGGAAAAAAAGACATGGCTTTTCATTGATAAACCATCTCTACAGTTCTAAGCCAGTTATCCTACAGAGTTTATCTAAGAAAAGGAAACATTCACCTCTTCTTCCCTTCATCATCTACTGAAAATACAATTCTAGTGAAGATTTTAATTTAATCCTAATCACTTTTCCCACTGATTTAATTCTCTGAATGTATTCTAATTTTAGGTTAGACTATATTCTGCGGTTCATACACACACACACACACACACACACACACAGACACACTGCCATCCTGTAGTTTATAATAGCACTTATCCTACTGTGCATTCTACTAACTGTGTAACTATTACAATAGTTTTTATAACAGATCTTTTTATTTGTCAGCAGATTGAATTTAACCATGAAGACTCTCCCAATAAACAGAAATTCTAGTAAAGAATTCACTAATTCTTAAATTCACCAGCACCTTGATCAAAATAGCTACTCTTTTAAAATAAAGTCTGATAATTAACGTACTTATTGGAGGTTGATACGTCCTTTCAAATAGGAGCGGATATTTTCTACAACAGCCTTTAACATCGGATGGCTTCTATTAACTAAAACTAATTTCCTAGAATTCAGAAGTCATTTCTTTAAACTATAACATATATAAAAATTTATTATAAGGACAGTTGCTCCAGAGACCAGAGGACTTGCACCTGCTGTTTATGGTGCAGAACAGAAGTGGCCTTGTCAGGTTTAGACAGTTTGAAAGACTTTTATAAGCGACTTGGAAGTGTATTCTAAAATAGAGATACAGTCCTCCCTCAGTATCCACAGAGGGTTGGTTGCAGGAGCCGCCGCAGATACCCAAGTCCTCAGATGCTGAAGTTCCATAGTGAGCCCTCCGCATCTGCCGGTTCCGCATTCATGGATACCGAGGGCCAACTGTATATTTATCGGGAAATATAAAATGTGGAAAAATCCATGTATAAGTGGATGTGCGCAGTTCAAACCTGTATTGTTCAAGGGTCAAGTGTATATGATCACTTTATTTTAGTGATATTTGTAGGATTTTGCAAGCTTCTTTCCTGATATCTTTGGAAAGTAGCTTCTATATTTTCATGGACCATCCCTGGAAGCTAACAGTATAAGCAAAGTAATTAATTTATAATTAGCATGCATTTCCTAACAGTGGTCTTGTGAAGCCCCAGTACAATTTGGGACTCCACTTCATTGCATCATTTTAAATTTATTTTCTTGACTCTTCACACACCCACTAGTAATTTCTGACATTATGATTATATTGAATTTTGGCTTTTCTATCTTAATTTTATCTTCAGCTTTACCCTTATCCTCCATCAGAATTTTTATGTTTTTGCCAAACCAGGGATCTTAAAGAACTTGCTTGCTAAATGGGAAAGTCAAAAGAAAAACTTACATAGAACGTTGCATGAGTCCTCTTTCACTTTATTATATCTAATTTCCTCCAGTTGCCCAAGTAGCAATTCATGGAGATGTGGCAAAATTTAATGGAGACCTTTTCTCTATCCACATATTTCCAGTCTTGCATGAAGCTTCGACTTTGTTGAAGTTGACATTCAGGGTACTTAGGACGCCTTTTGGCTGAGGTGTGTGCTGTCTGCTCACCGCCCATCCTGATGAGGGCAGATGGGTTCGACAGACTCAGAGATACATGCCAAACCTGCTGGAAATGGTTCTTCTGTTTTGTTACCTGTTGGATCCATAGGAGGGTGGTTAGCAAAATCTGTGTCCATAAAACTAATGCAGAGCCTGCCACAAACTTAACCTCTTGAAGAGAGGCACCTTATGGAATAGCTGCTCCTTTGAGCAGAGTCCCTCCTGCCCTGACTCTCCACCAGCTTCCTCCCCGGACAGCCTGGTCTCTGTCGAGGTCTCTCGCGAAGGCCCGGCATGTGGGAGCGTTAGGGGTGATGCCTTGCACCCCCTCGCCCCTGGAAAGAATGCTTCTAACATCTCACTTATGTGGTGACGTTTAGCTCGCCGCCTGCAGCTCAGCCCATGGGAGAGCAGCGTGGTTAACAGATTGCTGACGCCCACACATTCGTTCCTGGCCAGAAGTAAAAGCACAGCTGCCTTGTCTGGAGATACAGGTAAAACTGTCAAGGTGCAACTTTCTTCGTGAGGTAAAGTCCTCCTTTAGAAGCGTCTCTAAGCCACCCATTTTCATCTAATCCCATCTCAATTTTTCCCATCGCGTGCTTCTCCTCCTCCTGGTGGAATGGCGTTGGAAATGTGTCTGTTGGTGTTGGTTTCATGCCCCTGGTATCGTTTCCTCTGAGCATCCGTCTTAGCATCTTATCTGGACACCAGATGCCGGGCAGGTAAAGGATGCCCCTCCCTGTGATCAGATGGCTTCAGAGGCTTCTGTCTGTTCATAGTGTTACCAGAAAATCCTATCCCTTACCCACCTTTCTTTCTGCCCCTGCATCTGAGCAGATGATCGAAGGTAGAAATAATTTAATATCTAATACTAATTTGTGGGCCTGGGGATAAACTCAAAGCACAAGCCGATTTAAGCATAGTGTTTCATAATGTAGCTGTGGACTAGTCACATCCTCCCTGGGCTAGTCTTTTATTGAGGAATAGTACCCTTTCAAAACTCTATAAAGAGTTGCGGAGAAGGCTAATTACAGCGTTCTTATTTGTTACATACTTTGAAAATATGTAAAATGTGCCAAGTACTAGTTATTATAATTAGTTATAACTCCTCTACTTTTTTGAAATATAAAACACCCCTGAATGAGCCAATTAGTTTAACGAGAAGTTAGTATAGAGTCTACATCTAGCTGGAAAGAAAGATACCTATTAGGCTTTTGGCAGTGTCTCTCTCATGGTGAGTTGATTTTGACTTTCCCAAATATCTTTGGGCACAATTGGTGTATCTATGTAACCAGCCCTCATGTTTGGCACATGAGAAATTGCATAGCCTCTTCATAAAGCTCCCTTTAAAAAGGCTTTGCCTCTGCAAGCCACCTCATGTTCACTAGCCCTCTTTTGTAATAATAATTCTTGGTGGTTTTATGATATCTTTCATCTGTGGTGTCCAATGAGCTAGTATCAACCCTTATTCTCATAGTACCCCTGGGAGGCAGTCAAGGAAGCAAGTGCAGGCATTCCCACCACCTGCCTGTGGAAAACAAGAGATTGACAATAAGTGAGTTATACCAGAGGCACTTAGAAAATTGGTGGACTAGGTCTTAAACGTGCTTCTATCCTTGGCACCCTCGTGATGCTCTCTGTACCATTGTGCGTTCAACTAGCTGTACCACAGTGATCTGTGCTTTCTATAAAGTAACTCTCCTGTCAACTGTCACATTGCATCTGAGAATTTTCTGAAGGAAAAAACTACAGTTTATTTCAAGATACTTTATTTTTATGTCCATTTTGTCATACTTTCATATAAGTCATGAAAGCTGTTCTTTATGTCCAGCTAATTGAAAAACCTTTAAAACTGCTTTTCAGTCCTAATTCATAGGATCTAAATAGTTTATGGTTCTCATGCTTCTGAACCTCCACATTGTATGTTGTTTCATACTAAAGGACTGCCTCACAGCTAAAAAATTGTCTTTCTTTGCTATTTCTGTCATCACTAACTTCTGTCAATTCTTTCACTCTTCCTCTAGTCTCTTCCAACACCATTTCCTCATTTTCCACCCATTCGACTTGCCCAGCTTCCCACCTTCCTTGGCGCTCAACCAAGGTGCTTTTTAATCTGCTAACTGGCTCTTCTTTACTTTGCAACTTTTCCATTCTCCTTTTCACAAATTGATACATTTTTGTAACGTATTTTACTGTGAAGCAATGCATACATAGCCTTTACTTGAGTTGCCTGTTTTATTAATACATTCCTTAGATCATTGTTACCTATTATTGCATTGATGACAGCTTATATTTAATGAACCAAAACTGTTGTGTTTAGAAATTTCCATTTGAAATTATTCATGTAAACGTCTCTTACACTTATCTCCTCAAAAGCATGTTTCCCATCACTTTTATTTTTCCATCTGGTCTCCTTGATTATTTTTTCTTGTCTTCCCATTTTAGTGTCGTCCCTTGAGTTCACCTCATATCCAGTTGCCATTGGCGAGAGGATGACCTACATCCAGAGCCAGGGTTACAGTAGCAAATCAAAATAGCCGTCCTTACTCCTAGGGTGTTTGGTGATTGCAAATTCCCAGAACAAGTAATAAGAGCCGTTGAAAATTGGAAATCAGAGTCTCGTATGTTTCATTGTGACCACTGCTTTGGGTTGATTTTTTTCTTGCCCATTTTTAAAAATACATTCATGATACATGTGATTATTAGAACTCAGGATTAAATGAGTTAACACATGTAAAATGTTTCAAATAGTACCTGCACATAGTAGGCACTCAATAAATGTTATTATTCTACTATGTAATTATTCTCTCTGCTGCACTCCAACCACTTGAACTGCATTATCTTTTCTCTGCAGCCATTATTTCACATAGAAAATCCTGAATACGTTAAATTAATGCATGCTTGCTACCAATAGTAGAAAGAAATACAGATATTGTGGAAGGATTTCTCAAAGACATTTCCATAAAAGAAATGTTTAATAAAACTACTTTGGGATATGGAGGGCACTCTAGGAGGGAAAAGAAAACAACAATCATATATTGCTCTTCCTATTTCTTCAGAAGGGCAAGATTATTAGAATAATTGATTTAAAAGTTTCAGGGTTTTCAACAGTTGCTGTTAAGAACAGCGATGAATTCCATGAAATGTAGTATCCTTAGAATTAGCCAGACGATGTTTCTTGAAGAATTAAATTTGAGGATTTTTAAACCTCAAATTTACATTAGGTAGGTTTAAGGATATTTTTTTCCTTTCCTTCACATTGACTCAGCACTATAATAAAGAATGAACCAGAGGCGTGATGAGATTGGTTACATCCACGGTGGTCTCAGGAAATGCTCCAAGGAAGTGCTCCACAGATACCCCTGAAATTATTACTTTCCACTAGAGGGAAAAGAAATCATATTTCTGTGCTTCATTCCTTTTTCAGTGTCAGACCCATGGCCTCAGAGCAGGGCTGTCATCTAGGGTTTCTTGATCCTTGAGCAGTTAATGGCCTCTGGCTGTGCCCTGGGCTGTGTGTGCCTCTCTTGGTCATTAATCCCACAGAAGTGCCTTGTGCCAGGATGTTCTTCTTTAAAGGCATTTGATTGGCTTGGAAGAGGTTTGCATTAATGAACTCTTTCTTTGTCTGGGAAGGGCAACTGCTTTGTTGTGGCACTTGAGAAAAGGTTGTTTTCCAACAGTTTTCCCTGTGATCACGATAAGCCAAATGAGGAGAGGGTCTCCTTCTTCACAGCACAAAGGAAACTTCCTTCACGATTAAGGTCTGAGGCAAAGCTTTATGTCAGTTTGGAAGTAAGACATATACCTTTTAAGGAGAACTGAGGGAATGCAAAGTGTTTCAGCTTATCCAAGAAATAAGGGTTCTGTTTTCAGATGATGGGAGAAGAGAGTGCAGTTTCCAGTCGATTCACCACCTTGACCATTCAGTGATAACCAGAAGATACTGCAAGGCGTTTAATGAAAGAGAACACAGGAATACAGATGCAATCTGATGGACTTTCTGTCTGTAGACTAAACCAAAAAAGCACTTAAATATTTTTAACTATAATTCTGAAATTGAGATTACCTTGAATTTGTCCTGTTAACTTTTGAGTTTTTAATTTATTAATACTGTTATATTCAGTTGACTTAACAGTCTCTTTAAAGGGTTGCTACTACAATGGCTAGGGTCGGGTAAAGTCATTTTATAACATGGTCCGAATACATAGCATTCCCCTCAGTAGTCATGATTAATTGTCTTATTTTTTGCTGGAAAACAAGATTTCCGGATGAGATCTGAAAATGAACCTTGGAACATTAGTACCCACATGTTTGATACCTACGCAGTGTTCTGTGAATTTCTTTAAACCCACTGTTACTCAGAATCACTTGATTAATGATACTGTTCCTTTGAAGGTGAATGGTCAGAAGCTACGTGGTTTTCAAAAAAATATTTCTATTATTTCTATCTTGAGTAAAACTGCAACAGCTGTTCGTGATTCAACTTTATTTTTGGCAATTCTAACATATTTATGTTCCCTTCACCGTTTTAAATGATGACATCCCATTTCCCCATACGTTCTGCTGCTTGTTATGAACCATCAAATGCCTTGGCTTTTGGGGAGAACCCAGAAGCGTGCATTTGATTTGCCTTTAAGTAGATAAAACACTTACAGAATTTTTTTTCTGGAAATTATTAGTTATTCTTGTAACAAGTCTTAATACCTGATAAGACTTGGTCATTTAACATCTTAAAATTTCAGTTGCTTTTTTTTCCCCAGTGGTTGTTGAATTTTACTCCCAAAATAGTTGCAGTATATCTTGCTTGCCTGCTTGCTCACTTGCTGTCTTTCCACCGTTTGTTCCATCGTAAAGCTATTAGGAAAAATCTAATTATAAACAATCCTTATCTTAAAATTATCTGTCACTAATGTCGCATTTTACCAGAACCATCTGTTTATGGGACTATAAGACCATTGCTCTCTGTAATTATTGGCTTACATCTATATCTTTAATAAGTATTTAAATAGCCAAATAGTTTATATATTCCAGATTTTTCATTTGGACATGCCCTCCTTTTGGACACACTGTAAACTAATAGGACCTTGAGGAGAGTTGAGTATGATGGTCTGGACACCTTTAGGTAATAACATCTTCTCCCTACTTTTCTCTCTATCTCCGCTTTGCTACTTTTCCTGATCCTGCTTTTGGCTTTCCTTCAACTGCTCCTCTGGCACTCTTGCGTGTAAAACAATCACCTGCACCCTAGTTACCCCCATGTGTCCTCGTTCAGCATCTTGCAGCCCCATCAACATCATGCCCTACAAAGCTGCACACTCTAGAAATCCGATGGAGCGACCAAAATTCTTTGTAACACCACCGGAGGGCTCCGCGCGAAGGAGGACTGTTCACGGCACAGCGGTGAGTAGCTGTAAGCCAGGCGATGGTGACATCCGTCCTCCCATCCGTCCCACCAGTCTTGAATCTGGCTGGCTGAGTGGTGCTGTCCCCATACTTCCTCCCCACTTGGCGATTCTGCTCCCCCCTGAAAATCTGAATTTGAAGATGAAAATTGTTCTTTGTTCAAGCATGTCTGAGTGGCTGAACTGCCATATGGGTGCCTCCATACGAATAAGTGCAATGCCAACATACTTTATTTTTGAAAGTAAGAAAACCTTTGAAGGGGAAGTGGGCCTGGACTGCTGCCTTTGCATTTTATTCCAACCCTGTCCAGAAGCTGGCTGAACTCTAAATGTGGTTCACTGAAAAGCAAGATAAGGAATTTTTGTCTGTTTAGCTAATCCGTGTCAAGGCCCAGGTCTTAAAATATAGTGACAAAGAATAGAAAACACTAGTTATTCACTAAGTAATTCTTGAAAGGCTGTTGGGCTGTGTTACAGACTCACGTTTTGCAAGTGAAGAATATAATTTGTACCTGTTGTTTCTGACAAGGTGGCTGAACTAACATTAATTTTCACCATGCTATAAATGCAATGAGGTCACTTGTATGTCTCCAAGAATCTTTCTTCTTCTTTGTTTTATTTAAACTGTGTGTTATTTGGTAGCCGTTGAAATGTATAGACATTGTTCTGTGGTCTTCAGACGTTGTACTTTAGTCTTAAAGGACTTCCCAGTCCACCAGAAGATCTCATTGCCCCTCTCTCGTGGCAACAGCATGGCCCATGAGAGGCTGGAACAATTTTTTTCAATCCTAACTTCTCAGAGCAATTCAGATTTATAAATCTGATGAACACCTGAAAGGATTTTGCTTCGACCTTTGAGGCTAATTCAAGGGTTGTGAGAGCTTGATGGCTTTGCCTACAGGCAGTTTGCTTTCAAGCGCTTCAGGCTTTCAGGAGTCAAGGTTTAATTCATGATTGAATCAGACCTCCAGCCCTTCAAGCCAGAAGTGAAACTACCTTTGATGTCTGGGAAGTCTTCCATCATTAGCACTTTGGTGCCTCAGAGATCCTAGCTGTGGACAAGTAGCAATAGTTAAGCAGAACAGTTTTGGCCCCAAATGTTGGATACTTATTGGGTAGAGAAAAGCGTGTACCAAAGAAAAAAATACCTTGTTACGGATAAAAACAAAAATTAACACTCCAGGAGGGAAGGGTGAGAGGTGATCCTTGGCCAACAGATTAAATGAGAGGGATTTGTCATCATATGATCCAAAACCTATATTTTCTCACCGGTTTTGTTTTTGTCTTTTTAGTGCCTTCTTTCTGTATTTGATCTATTGGCTGTCTTTTCACTTCTTTGCGATTAAATATTTAGGCAAATACCTACTGCCAGAAAACGACTCACAAATCATTTATACTCCAGAGCTGCACTGTGGAATTCAGCTGAGCACTTGAAAATGTGGCAAATGAGACTGACGGATCAAATTTGAAATTTAATTTTCTTTTAGGCAATTTTTAATTGTGACAAAAAACATACAACAAAATATAGCATCTTAACTGTTTTTAAATGTGCAGTTCAGTAGAATTAAGTGTATTCACATTGTCGTGCAACCAATCTCTAGAACTTGTTAAATCTTGCAAAACTGAAACTATACCCACTAAACAACAACCTTACATCCTCCTCCCCCAGCTCCTGGCAACCACCATTTTACTTTCTGTTCCTATGAATTTGACTACATTAGATACCTCATACAAATGAAATCATACAGTATTTGTCTTTTTTTTTTTTTTTTCAGTACGCAGGCCTCTCACTGTTGTGGCCTCTCCCGTTGCGGAGCACAGGCTCTGGACGCGCAGGCTCAGAGGCCATGGCTCACGGGCCCAGCCGCTCCGCGGCATGTGGGATCTTCCTGGACCAGGGCACGAACCCATGTCCCCTGCATCGGCAGGCGGACTCTCAACCACTGCGCCACCAGAGAAGCCCAGTATTTGTCTTTTTGTGACTGGCTTATTTCACTTAGCATAATGTCCTTAAGGTCTGTCCTTCCACGTTGTAGCATGTGACAGGATTTCTGTTCTTTTTAAGGCTAGTAACACTCCGTTGTGTGTGTGTGTGTCTATACATATATATTTCTGTATGTGTATATATACACACACATGTATACATGTATAGATGCACCACATTTTGTTAATCTGTTCATCTGTTGATGGACATTTGAGTTGCTTCTTACTTTTGGCTATTGTGAATAGCACTGCTACAAACATGGGTGTGCAGATATCTCTTCAAGATCCTGCCTTCAGTTCTTTTGGATATATACCCAATTGTTGGATCTTATGGTAATTTTATTTTTAATTTTTTGAATAACTGCTATACTGTTTTCCAAAGTGACAATACCATTTTACTTACGTTCCAACCAACAGGGTACAAGGTCTTCCAGTGTTTTCACATCCTCACCAATACTTGTTTTTTCATTTTGTTTTTTTTATTTGTTTTTTAAATAGTAGTCTGATAGGTGTGAGATAATACCTCATTATGGTTTTGATTTGCATTTCTCTAATCATCAGTGATGTTGAGCATCTTTCTATAAGTTTGTTGGCCATTTGTATATCATCTTTGGAGAAATATCTAATCAAGTCCTTTGCCCATTTTTTAATCTTAAGTTTTTTAATCTTATTTTTAATTTTTGTTGTTGGAGTTATTTATACATTATGGATATTAATCCCTTATCAGATATATGATTTGCAAATATTTTCCCTCATTCTGTAGGTCTCTTTCTTACTCTTCTTACTCTGTTGATTATATCCTTTGATGCATAGGAGTTTTTTGAAGTCCCATTTGCTTATTTTTGCTTTCATTGCATGTGCTTTTGGTGTCATATCCAAGAAATTTTTTTTTATTACCAAATTTATTACCAAATCCAGTATCATGATGCTTCCCATTTTCTTCTGGGAATTTTATAATTTGAAGTCTTACATTTAGGTCTTTAATCGTTTTGAGTTCATTTTTGTATATGGTGTAAGGTAAGGATCCAACTACATTCTTTTGCATGTGGATATCCAGTTTCCCAGCACCATTTGTTGAAAAGACTGTCTTTTCCCCATTGAATGGTGTTGGCACTCTTGTCAAGGATCCTTTGACCATATACACAAGGGTTTATTTCTGGATGCTGTACTCTGTTTCATTGGTCTATATGTCTGTCTTTATGCCAGTACCATACTGTTTTGATTACCATAGATTTGTAATATGTTCTGAAATCAGGGATTGTGAGACCTCCAACTTTGTTCTTCTTTTTCAAGATTGTTTATTCAGGGTCCCTTGAGGTTCCATATGAGTTTAGGATGGAGTTTTCTATTTCTGCAAAAAATGATGTTGGCTTTTGATAGGGATTGCATTGGTTCTGTAGATTGCTTGGGATAGTATTGACATCTTAGCAATAACAAGTCTTCCATTCTGTGAACTTTAGATGTCTTCCCATTTATTTGTGTCTTCTTTAATCTCTTTCAGCAATGCCTTCTAGTTTTCTCTGTAGAAGTCTCCCACCTCCTTGGTTAAGTTTATTCCTAAGTATTTTATTCTTTTTTTGATGCTGTTGTAAATGGGATTGTTTTCTTAATTTCCTTTTCAATTTTATTAAATTTTAATTAATTTAGATCTAAATTCAACTGCCTGCTATTGAGTACTTGAAATACGTTTTGTGAGACTAAACTTAACATTTAATTTTAATTAATTTAGGTCTAAATTCAAATAGCCAAATGTGGCTAGTGGCTACCATTTTGGACAGTGTAGGTGCAGAACATTTCTATCATCACTGTTCTCTTGTACAGTGCTGCCTTTGAATATCTGTTTATATTGTCTCTCTTGTGGGTTATTTGTATTCTAAACCTAACTTTAGTTGTAAAACTAAAGTCTTTGTCCTGCTGGTAAGTTGCCTAGGCCACTGACATGGGCTTGCTGTGTGTGTTCCACCTTAGCCTTGTGGAACGTGTTAACAGGAAAGATTATTGTACAGACCACTGGCTGTTAACTCAGATCAGGATGAGAATCAGGAGCATCTTTACATGTGTGGAACTCAAATAGGTGATTGGGTCCAAGACCAGTGGAAAGATATTTAAAAGAACTAAGAGGGTAAAAGCATCTATCTACCTGCCTGGGAGGGTGTTATGTCAAATACTGAGCATTTTTCCAAACTGCTTCTCCCTGTTCCCCCTACTCCCTAAAGGTGATTAAAGGGAGGTCAGATTTAAGAAAGAAAGAATTGGTTCAGTGGCACTTTAACAAAAAGAAGACTCTGAGGATTATACACTTTAATGTAGATTTATTCCCAGATGCCTGTCTTATCAAGGCGTAGATGATGACATTAGTCCCCAAATCCTCCACACAACAAATTACCTTTCCTGACTTATTTTCCCATTCAGGTCTCTCCTTGATCTGACTTTAGCCAAATTAAAATGTTTTGAGAAAAAGAAAGAAAAGCAACTCAAGGGCTTAACCCCAGCCTCCCTCGGGAAGAGGCCTGTACCTTCCACTCTGGGGACTTGATCTGCCAGAGGCATAATTGCCATCCTGTACACCTATCAAGAGGGTTCCATATGGTGGCTGCTGCTTCTGCTACCCAAGCACTGCAGCTGTTCTCCAATAACCTGCCTCCTGCCCTCTACTACCGGAGACGGGAACAAAGGGTGGTCATGCGGCTGCAAGTGATATAGAGGTGGCACCCTGTGAAGCTCTTTCACCCTGTGAAGCTCTTTCCTGCCTCATCCTTCATTTGTTTTATTTAGAAATTCTGGGGAGACATTAAGTATTATTTGACACTGAGATGTTTTTCCCCCACCTATAGCCCAGTCCATCAACTAGGATGCTACTAAGAAAAATAGAAGCAATTAGAAGAGATGCTGAAGGGAACAAAAGGGGAGGGAAGAAAGAAGGGGCGTGATGTTTGAGCCAGGCAGAAAAGGAAAGAAAAGAAGGTACACGCCAGCTTATTGGCCCTGACGCTAGGTGTTGTTCTGCCCCTTCCCTAGCACCCTCAGTCTGCTTTCCTGGAAGGATCCCACAGAGTGAAGGACTGACAGGCATCCACACAGGTCCCTCCAGCCAGCATCTGTTCCCATCCCAGAACACTGTTGGCCGTGTTTCAGATACTTGGAATGAGTACTTTCTCCCTTGCCCTGTGCCTTGTCTTTTTGTTTGTTTCTGTTTGTGTTTTGGTTTGGGGGGTTTTATTGTTTGTTTGTTTTTGTCTTCGTTGACTTGAGACTATCAGAACACTTCTGGGTTTCCTTTTGCCCATTTCTACCTAGGAAAGGTGTCACCTCTCTGGCTGAATTCCTAGTATGCAGTCATAGGAGGGCTGATGTTTTGGCCCAACCTCAGAGATTTCCATTTCATCCCTAATGAGGAAGACTAAAAATAGCTGAAATTCCTCACCTTGAACCTGACTTTTCCTTCAAGGGCAAGAGGACACTGAGTGAGGAAGGACTTGTTTGTATAACACCCGTATAAAGAAAAAAATGAATTAATGTCTGACATAGCAGACATGTAAATTAAAAAAAATAAACTGAGCTATAGTGTGTTCCAGGGTTAAAAAAAAAAAACTGCTTAAGAATTAAAAGAGATAAAGGTAGGGGGAATAAGCTGAAAGTGACCTTTATTTTGACATTTGTGTGGGCTAAACTGGACTATGAGAAATTTTGCTCTGGGTAGTTTTAGATACAAAGTATAGGTGCTTTCTAAAAGTGTGTTTTTGTTTTGTTTTTTTTACAATGTAAGTCCAGATCACACATCCAGAACCTTCTTATTAGTGTCAGATTGTGTTAATTCAATTATAATGTTCAGTTTTAACCTAATAAAGGCCTTTTGTTGGGGTGGAATGGATATACATGGCAAAGGTTGGAAATTTTCCCAAAAGCCATTCAATGGATTGCAGCTCCACTGTTGAATACTGTGAATGTGATTGTCCCGCTCATGGAAAAATCTAATTATTGTGTTCCTCTGAACTTAGGGCTATAAAAGAGAAAGGGAGAGAGAAAACTTACCCTTCCACCTCACACCCGGCATCCGAAGGGCTCTATCTCCATCTCATCCCAAAGCCAGATCACCAGCTTCCTCCCGACTTTGGTAAGTGAAATGTAAGAGGCTGGCAGGGTTGTTCCATGTTGGAGAATTAAGAGCCTCTGTCCTCTGAAAAGGAACTGTTCTCCCCACACTGTTTGGCCTTCACTTGGAGAGTAATATTTTTCCTCAAAGGAAAGAAAAAAGAAACCTGGAATGAGCCTCTGAAGTGAGTACTTCTGCATTTGCCACATAAAAGACACATTCACACAGCTAAATATCTTCATTTCTCTTCCGTATTGGTGTTCCAAGACTATTACATGGTGGAGGTATGGGGAAAGGAAGGTTCTGGCAAGCCTGTTCTCATGTGCCCCTTTCTCTTTACTTTGTTTGTTGCCCAGGCTCCCATCCAAGTCCTTTCCCCACTTGCCTGGCACCCCCAGACCAGCATCCTCCATGCCTCCTGGACCAGTCAAACCTGCCCCTGCTCAGGTCCGGCCCCCCTCGCCCGGCAACATCCGCCCCATCAAGAGAGAAGTCAGAGTGGAACCTGAGAGAAAAGACCCTGAGAAGGAACCTCAGAAAGTTGCCAATGAGCCCTCACTAAAGGGCAGGGCACTTTTGGTGAAGGTAGAAGAAGCCACAGTTGAAGAGGGGACACCTGTCGAACCAGAGCTTGCTCCTGGTAGGAATCCACTGACTCGTGGTGGAGTGTGGGTTGCTCGCTCTCTTTAGTCACTCTTCCTTTTTCTCCCGCACTGCTTTGACTTAGCTTTTTCTTTCTTTCTTTTTTTCCCTTGTTGGGCACTTGAAAATTTTACTCTAAGGCTAATCTGGGGAACTTTTCTTGAATATAATTTTCCTACATATAAAGAAAGAATCATCCATCCTATGGCCTATGGTCAGAGCCACAGCATATTAATTCAGGTGTGGTTTATGAGTCCTTTCATTGGCCGAGTCCAATAATTTGACAAAATGTGGTATTCAGAGCACCTGCATCAGAATCATTTTATCATTTATCCTATTGCTGTGTAACAGATTATTCCAAAACTTTGCAGCTTAATAACAACAACAAACAGTTATTATTATCACGCAGAGTCTTGGGTCAGGAATTTGGGAGCAGCTTAGCTGGGTTGTTAGAGAATGGCTCATGCACAGGGCTGTCGGCAGGTGACCTTCATTTCATGACACATGAACCTCTCCATAGGGCTGTTGGATGTCCTCACAGTCTGTCCACTCCGCTGGCTTCCTGCAGAATGAGTGAGCTGGGGGAGAGAATCACGAGGAGCCCACAGTATCTTTTATGCCCAGTCTCAGAAGTCACACACGCAGAAATCACGATTTCTTTTCTTTTTTTATTTATTCATTTATTTTTGGCTGCTTTGGGTCTTCGTTGCTGCCCACGGGCTTCCTCTAGTTGCGGTGAGCGGGGGCTACTCTTCATTGCAGCGCACGGACTTCTCATTGCAGCGGCTTCTCTTGTTGCGGAGCTCGGGCTCTAGGCACGCGGGCTTCAGTAGCTGTGGCGCACGGGCTCAGTAGTTGTGGCTCGCGGGCTCTAGAGCTCAGACTCAGTAGTTGTGGCACAGGCGCTTAGTTGCTCTGCGGCATGTGGGATCCTCCCGGACCAGGGACTGAACCCATCCATGTCCCCTGCACTGGCAGGCAGATTCCCAACCGCTGTGCCACCAGGGAAGTCACAGAAATCACGATTTCTGTCATACTATTCGTTAGAAGCAAGTCACTAGCTTCAGCTCACACTCAAGTTGGGGGGATTAGCCTCCATCTTTTAAAGGGAGGATTTTCGAAGAATTGAGGGAAATATTTTTAAACCACATCTATAATGTTTCAAACTGTAGAACCCTGCCCCTACCTCAGACCTATTGAATCAGAATACGTGGTGGATCCAAGGACTCTGAAGGATACTAAGCTCATCTGTTGACTCTTGTGCAGGATTGCCAGATAAAATAGAGTGGCAGTTATCCTGTGTGTACTGGAGTTTGGGGACCACTGGCTTAGCGTATGTGATTGACAGAGGTCAGAATTTTTTCCAAAAGACCCAGTGGATCTCATCTCTACCAGGTTAACCAGATGCTGTTTAGAAGTTTAAAATCACCTGGAACTAGAAATTCAATGCATCTTGTTGAAAATTGTCTTCATTCAAGAGTTTTCTCTTTAAGACTTAATTTGAAGATACAGGGTGGGGGGCAAAGAAAGAATAGTGACTCAAGACAAATGATAGTATAGTAAGGGAATGGACGAGTCCAATACCTGTTTGCATGGAAAGAGGGAGAAGAGAAAGGCCAAAAAGTGTCCTGAGGGCAAAGAAAAATCTGTGGGAGCAGCAGGAGAAATGCAGATCTTGAAAGGAGGGTCTGGAGTGGTCAGGTGCCAGGGATCACAACTCACCATGGTGCCTATGGCAGGGGTGCCCCAGCCCCCTAGGTCCTTTTCCTGAATCCAAATAAGGTCAGAGAACTACTCTCATCTTGCATGTTGGCATCAGAACTGGCAGTGGAGACCTGCAATGTCTAAGGAGCACAGGTGCCGTCTCCCGAAGAGGCTCTTGGTTCCTCCCTCCTCAGACCTGGAGGCAGCTCTGGGTAGACGGAAGAGGCCTCTTCCTTGGTCTCTTCCCGCCTGAGTCCGGGCTCAGTGGTATGGACGCTGGGCATGGTCACAGAAAGGCTTGAGTCCTCTAGTGATGAATAGTCACTAAAGAGAAGGAATTTTTTTTTAACGTAATGAAAGGCAAATGGAAGATCTCATCTTCCTTTTTCCTGGGGTATAACTTCCCACAGAACCTAACATGAGGCTCTATACTTAGTACACATTCGATATATGTTGTTAACTGATTTAACTTGTATAAAAATAAGGCTTGGTGACAGAGTGTCAGCTTCGGATGTCTCACTTACACACGCGGCTTTTTGTTATCTGTTGCCCGGTTACAGATAGAATACAGTGAAACCGTGAGAACGCGCAGTAATAAACATTCCCTTTTCTTTTATAGCGATTAATTCGAGGCCTGGGGTGCGGGGGATGCTAGTTTTTGTGTTGTTCTTTGGCTTTTGTTTCCAATTGGTTTTCTCCTTGTACTTGTTTGTACAGCTGCTCCGGAGGCAGCCTCAGCACCAGCCTCCGTTCCAGCCTCCACTCCGGCCCCTTCATCCACTGTGACTGCCATTACTTCTCTGAAGACCTCTGCGGGCACCACTGACCCGGAAGAGGCCACGAGGCTGCTAGCTGAGAAGAGGCGGCTGGCCCGAGAGCAGAGAGAGAAGGAGGAAAGGGAGAAGAGGGAGACGAAAGAGCTCGAAAGGTAAAGGAGTGACACTGTTCAGTGACACCCTAGTGACACCTTGGATTAAGTCTTCAGTCAGGGAGAAGAGGAAATAGTAGTGTTGAAGGTGAATCTATTTAGTTGTTTCAGAATTAGTCTCCCCTGGTGTTCACTAAGCGACTTTTGTAAGCCACATTTTCTTATTATAATGACAGTGCAACAAAATTGATGGAGAAGGGGTTTCTTTTTGTTTTCGAAGGACTAGGGAGAAAGGTTTAAAGAAAAAAAAAAATCATCCATATTCTTACCAGATTTCAATAATTGTGTACATTTTGGGTCACCCTTTCCAGTCTCTGAACAGTGTGTGGGTGTATATACATGCATAAATATATACATACACACATAGATTCGCATAATTGTAACCACAGTAGAGGTACAGTTGTGCAGTCTTAATTTTTTATTTAACGTATCTCTCATCTCCATGTTTCCTCATTATCTTTCTCATTATGTTAAAGCTGCGTATTAACAGCTCATGTTTTCTTCCAGATAGTATTCCTCTCAAAGGGTAGCTGCGTGAGACAGTTAAGTGCCCCATGACTGCCTGCCAGACAGTATGCCAGGGGCAGTTTGCTTAGTTGCCCCCCTTCTGGAGCTAATAAGGCTAATGTCAATATAATTGTTCTTCAAATAAGCAGAACTGCCTCTCCGGAAAGGACGGCAGCCCCAGTGCTGGGCCGCCATCTTGGACATGCCCTACCCTTGGTCCCAACAGGGAGCTTACATGGTCCATCTTGTCCCTGTACTGAAACAGAACATTATAACCTTTATTTACTTACAGAGATTTGGAGGGGAGCATTAAATTCGTTACTAAAAGTCACATTATTGGATTAAACAGATCTCAGCCTTTAAAGATAGTTATATTGCAGATCCTTTAAAAAAAAAAAAAAAAAGAAAAAAAAACAGGGGCTTCCCTGGTGGCGCAGTGGTTGAGAGTCCGCCTGCCGATACAGGGGACACGGGTTCGTGCCCCGGTCCGGGAAGATCCCACATGTCGCGGAGCGGCTGGGCCCGTGAGCCATGACCGCTGAGCCTGCGCGTCCAGAGCCTGTTCTCTGCAGCGGGAGAGGCCACAACAGTGAGAGGCCCGCGTACCGCAAAAAAAAAAAAAAAGAAAGAAAGAAAGAAAACAAGCTCTCCTCAGAATATGAGTGGATACATTCTGCGTCTGTTTCCCACGAGGCAACGGGAGGCTGGGAAGGGGAGGAGGAAGGAGAGAGGGTGGCTTCACGTGTATCAGTGGATGCTGTTGGCCAGACCTCCCAACAAACTGTTCTCGCGGTAACCACAGACTCGATCGCGCCTTGCCAAGGAAGTCCCCTCACGTATCTTCGTCTTGTTTTGTCTTTTTCCAGACAAAAGCGAGAAGAATTGGCCCAAAGGGTGGCTGAAGAGAGAACCCGCCGAGAGGAGGAGGCCCGCCAGCTGGAAGCTCAGCAAGCCAGGGAGAGGGAAGAGCAGCTGCGGCGGCAGGAGGAGGAGCGGGCCCGGCGCGAGCGGGAGGAGATGGAGCGCATCCAGAAACAGGTAGCGGGGGGCCGGCTCCCGCCCGGGAAGCAGGTCGGCGCAGCCCTGGCTCAAGATGGGGCAAGGGGCAGCCCAGATGGGAAGAGGAAGCTGTTGAGCGTGGGGTTAGGAGTGCTCGTGTCTCCCCCGTGTGCGCTCGTGTTCCTCGCGTTCTCCGTCCTCGGGCGCCCCGGGACCTTGGGGGCAGCGGGCGAAGCCGGCCTGTGTGTAAGAAGCAGATACAGACTTCCCGTTTTCAGAAAGAAGAAGAAGCTCGTGTTCGGGAAGAAGCAGAGAGGGTCCGGCAGGAACGGGAGAAGCATTTCCAGAGAGAAGAGCAGGAGCGCCTGGAGAGGAAGAAGGTAGTTGCGTCTCTGTCCCCGCAGCCTGGCGCCCTCGCTGCTCTTGATTCTGCCTAGACTGAAGCCGGCTCCAGACCAAGAGACTAGCTCACTGCCATCAGAAAACAAAAGTGTCCTGCCCATTCCAGGTTAACTAAAGTAGCTCTCAGTATTAATGTTCTCCTCCAAAGAAATCGCTCTTGGTGTTTCAGGCTTCACCAAAAACAGTTGCTTCCAATTCATGCGGCTTAAGCCAATTTCAACTTCTTTGAGTACCTCCAGTTAAGACAAAGACAATTATATTTTCCCAAAATAATGGGCATGTTTCAATGCCCTGCTATTTGCTTAGTCAGTGAAATGTGCCAGGCTAGCTTTCTTTCCATATCTAATGTGTTTGCTCAATTCTGCCTTTTTTGTAGCGGCTTGAGGAGATAATGAAAAGAACCAGAAAAACAGAAGCTTCAGATAAGGTATTGAGATGGCCTTTTTTTTAACTATTCTTAATGACTTTTTTTTTTTTACTTTCATTTGTAATTTTAACATTAAAAAGTCTTTTTTTTTTTTTCTTTGTTAGAAAACCGTTGATCAGAGAAATGGAGATATAACCAAGGGAGCGCTCATTAGAGAAACAGGTATTTATTTCAGTGAACTCAAATCAATACAAATATAGAATTTTTTAATTTATTCTGTGGAGGTCAAGATAAACATTGATTTAAAATAAAAATACTCATTGACTCACAGAAGTTTAGGTGTTTCTCATCTAGTCCACAAATAATCCCCTTTATCTAAACATCTCTAGCATTTCTAGCAGATTTTTTTCACATTTGTTTATACTCTAATGGAGTATTTAATATCTTAAGTCATTTTATATTATATATATATGTCTCTCTATATATCTATGTGTATGTATGCCTCTATAGATATGTATACACACGTATATGTGTATATGCACACACGATTAGAAGAATTTTCTTTGAGTTTATAAAATTAAATTTCATTTGTCATTTACTATCTGCTAAAGGAATCTGTGTTTATATTTGCTATTAAGGACGTTAAATTTAAACATTTTGACAACTTGTACTTATGGCATTTCTCAGAAAAGGATTTAAATGTTATTTCTTTTAGTTCTGATTTCAGAATAGAGTTAAAATTTGAAATTTGTTGAAATTTCATTAGAAAGTTGTTCATATGCCATAGGCTTTGGACAAAGGTGATTAATTTCTTGGTGATTTTAAACCAAATTTGGTGAATATAAAAGTAAAATTTATCTTAGTGTTTTAGTACTCACACTCAACTAATATTTATTAAATGCCTTCTTTGCGCCAGATACATCTGCATACATTTTCTTGTTTAATTTCCATTGCAGACCTGTGAGATGGGAGATGCTTTATCTTGGAGTAAGCAGGCATTTTCGGAAAACTTTTGTGCGCCAGGCCCTTTTGTTAGGTGCTAGGATTCAGTGTGAGCAGGTCAGCCGAGGTCCCTACCCCCCCCCCCCCCCCCAGGAGAACTCAGATTGAGTGACAGGCCCAGCTCGCACAGCTGGAGTCCAAGTCACCAGCTTGTAATTTGGCTCCTTCCGTGATTCCATGTGGTCTTCATGATTGTACATACAGGTGGTTGGTCAATAATTCACTATGCAGTCTTCCTCTTTCCTCGTCTGCAGTATCAATATGAAAAGAAAGGACCAGAGATACCTCAGTTTCTTTTACTGTTTATTATAGACTGGAGTAAAGATCAAATGAAATGATTTGTGTGAAAGAACATTCTCTGTTCTGGGGTTTTCAAATGTAAAATACTGGTATTTGGGGATTTGGTTTTACTTCAGTAGAGGCTATCCGAGTTCCTCTATGTCATAATCCCTTCAGTGTGGGGCTTTTCATTCTCTTTTAAAGATGCCCTAATTATATTTGTTTGGAGAATAGCCTAATGGTTGCATATTAACCCCACTGCATTTTTAACAGGTTGCCTCCAAGAATGTTGTGATACATTTAGGCTTAAAGCAGGCATGGCACCCAGTAAGTCATCAGAATGAGCATTTTAGAATGTAAATTACACCAACCCAGGATTATTTGAGGAGCCGATGCTGTAGTTTGTACATGGCCGGGCTCCTTGTTGGTTTTTTTGTTTTTCCATGTGTCTTCTTCCTGCTATTCCCCTATCAATTCTTTCGATTATTCTTTGTACCTCAGTTCGAGAATGAACAATGGCCAGAAGGAAGGTGCAACTTGTCAGTCATCACACCTGTGTTTATCAACTCTGATAATAAATTTGGTTTGAGTGACTAGTGCTAAAACGAGGCCTGAGGATTATCTAACATATGTTCCTCTTCTCCTGGTCCCACATTTGGTTGAGGACTGAATGGTATCACCAGTGCTCCAAAGAGAATTCTAGGCTGGGCAGGCAGGTGAGTTTGCAGACCTATCAGAAGTCTTCTCAGAAGATTCCTATTACCAGCTTTGCAAATTTGGGCAGCTTTTAAGTTATTAGTCTCTTCTTCTTAAGACTTTATGTAAACCTGGCCCAGATTTTAAAGTCAGTCATCGATATTGTTTGCTCATGCTAGACTCCAGTGGGGAATATTGAATGACTAGGTAGCACAGTTAGGTACAGTTCACTGGCCTTTCATGCATGAAATCCCTACCATTCTTAAGTGGGACTAAAACCGAATTTTCCAAAATATTTTTCATCACTTAGGGTATTTCATGGTGATTTGCTCCAAATCCTTCAGTAATAATTTGTTTAGCATCGGCCTGACCAAATCAACTTACTGTTATCTTCATCAATTGCTTTGGTTTCAGTATTACATACTTTTTTGTCCAAAGTCAGTTTGGTGCAAGCAGAAATAATCACAGCACTGATTTCCACCCTTACAATGTGCTGGGCAGTGTTCTAAGTACTTTGCATGTGTTAATACATTTAATTCTCACAGTAGCCTATGAGTTAGGTACTATTACTATCCATGAGGAAACTGAGGCACAGAGCGTTTGTGGCTTGCCCAGGGTCACACAGCTGGTAAGTAGCAGAGCCAGGACATAAATCCAGGCATTCTGGCTCCTGGGGTTTGGGTTTGATAGTAGAGTAGTAGTAACCCTTTGTTCCATCTTCTTTGCCATGTCCAGCAGTATCTGCACTTCCAAATATGACAAACTCTCCAGGACAAGGAGAACCAGCAGCCAGCCCCCATGTGGTTACCTCACACCAATCAGAAGTGACTGTGGAGAGGTGAGTTAGACAACTGCGGCCTTTCTTACTGGTGCACATTAGAGCAAAGCACGACTGTTTTTGCCCCACCAATCCCACCAGAATTTTCTGGGGCCAGACAGAATTTGAGTTTTAACATGAAGATTTATTGAGGTTCATTAATGTTTGGTAGAGCTAGTAATTCTGTAATCTGAGAACAGGAAAATGTCTTTTTTTCTTGAATCTCTAAATATGACGGTGAGGTTTTTGTGTGGCTATCCAAAAAAATTACAGGGAATAATTTGTTACTTTCCTTTGTATGTATATGGCATGATCCTGGACCATCTTCACACCCTTTGATGATATACAGCAGCTGTATTTTCACTGTATAGAATATTATAGTGAGTCACAGGTTTGTTCCTTGGTAAAAGTAATTTAGATGCCAGTATTTCTTTTACTAGTAGTAGAGCTTCTTACTGAGGAAACAGATGGTTGCTAACAATAGTTGAGAAGTGTGGGTTAAAGAAAGATTGCCTTCCTGTTCCCTTGCATTTATACTGACAGAGTTGTAAGAGTGCTCTCAAAACTGAAAATGAAGGGTAATCATAGCCTGTGCCAAGAAATCCAGTCATAGAGAACTTGTAGGAATATTTATAATAATGTTCAAATTTTTCAGCTGCAACTTTTTATTTATCAGAATTTACTGAATTATGAGTTCTGTCTCTGATGCCAGGGTCTTTGCTACCATAAGAGAATTGAAGCTCCTCAAATTAACTTTTTTAATAGATAGAAAAATGTCTTTTAAGATCTAAGATCTTTTTTTCTTCCAGTTTTACTGAGATATAATTGACATACAGCACTGTATAAGTTTGAGGTATATGGCATAATGATTTGATATACATAAATTTTTTTCTTAATTTAAAAACACATACTATACAACATTTTATATTGTTGGAAGCCATGAAAAGACAAGTTGTCCTAAGATGGACATCCTAAGATATCTATAAGTCATAAGGTATCTATGTATATCTGTCTGGGACAGTAAAAATTTTTTTTAATTTGCCCAGTATAATACCACAGAAAATAATTTTCCTAAGAGAGATTTTAATAAGCATTTGATTATGTTTAATAAATTTATTGTCATAATTACCCAAGAGATATATTAAGTGGTATTTCATTTTTTTAGTTATAGTTTGATTTTCAAATAAAATACTCATTTCCAACTACTATAATTTATGGCATTTAATTCATTGATGTCAGAGATTTTTAGAAAAGGATAAAAAGTACCACAGAGAGCCCCATTATTATAACAAGGGATAGGTTTTTTAAGCCACTGATAATTCTCCCTGAGGAATAAAATTAGCTTATACTTTAGCTGACTCTCTTCAGTGGTAAAATCAAGTGATTAATCATTGTATAAGAACCTGAAACATATCTTCAAGAGTCTTGCATCCAACTTCAACCTCCAGAGAGTAGCCAAAGAAGGGGAATTCAAAAGCCGATACTTGTATCTTAAGAGGACACACAGATCCATAAACCCTAACCCCAGCAACTTCAGCTTCAGTTTTATAGTTTCTGCTGGTCACAGTGTCCTCTGAACATTTAATAATTGTTCATCCAGAGCATAGGGCATGATTATTCCTCTAATTGCTAACAAGTAAGAATGGGTGGGGTGGTTGGGTAAGAGTGCGAGGGGAAATGAGGTCAGCTGTTGATTCAAGCCTGGGGCTGGCGTTGCCATTACAGCTTGTCAGCACACGCAGGCCTGGAAGGTGACGGGAGTTGCCATGGTCAAGGAACAAGGGCTTTGAAGATGCATTTCTTTTGCCAAAACTTCTACTTAAAAATCTCTCTGAGATGGGAACCAAAACTCTTCCCCTGATTACAGAAAGCCCATTGGTACTGGGAAAGAGCAGGAGGAAGGGCGTGGCGGTGCAAGCACTAGAACGGCGGGTATTAGGACGGGGTGTGTGTGCGAGTGCACACGCGCTAATGTAGGCTGCTGTGATGCCGAGCCTCTTCTCCCCTCCTTAGTGAAATAGTGGAAACGCACCATTATAGTCTGAATCTGTATAATATTTTTATGTTCTCTTCCATGGCACTTTTACAAATAATATTTTCAACATACCCTGCAATACCTTGTGAAGCACTTAGGTCAGGCATCTTTATTTTTTTTTCTAGAAGAAAGGGTTTAATAATTAACAAAAAATACCATAATACCCAAATCAGAAATGTTTTAGAATATGTTCCACAAAGTCAATGTATCTCACTGACTGGGGAAAGTAAACTATTTCCTCAATAGGGAAAATAAAAGCAAAGATTCCTTAAAAAAAAAAAAAAAAAACAGTGGAAAGATTAGATGTCTACTAGCTTCATTTTCACCATTTGGGAAGGAGATGGAAAAAGACTAACTTAGGAAAGTTCAAGTTGTTGGCATTGCTGACAGTAGAGACCTGACTTTCTGATCTCTTCCACAGCTCTGTCTACAGGTAAACATTGTTTATGATGAGTGTGTATTAGAAGTTAAAACCGTCATGATTTTTGTTTCACATTTTTAGTCTTATTAACATTTTCCAGTTGAAAATTTTAACTCTAGAATTTTGTCAAATAGGGTCGTTTTTTATACATGAGCCACTCAGCAAATTATGAAGTTTGCAAATATGTTTACTGCTGCAGTCAGATCAAGTGAACAATAAAATTAACCTAGCATTCATTTGGTCCACAGGCATTGTTTTGCTGCATTGTAAAGCATAATAATGAACATATAACCTAACGGGCTGCCTATTTGGTTATGGAGTGTGTAAAGGGAGTGAAAAACCTAAGAGAGGGACTTCCCTGGTGGCGCAGTGGTTAAGAATCTGCCTGCCAACGCAGGGGACACGGGTTCGATCCCTGGTACGGGAAGATCCCACATGCCGTGGAACAACTAAGCCCGTGCGCCACGACTCCCGAGCCCACGAGCCACAACTATTGAGCCTGCGCACCACAACAAAGAATAGCCCCCGCTCGCCGCAGCTAGAGAAAGCCCACGCACAGCAACGAAGACCCAACGCAGCCAAAAAAAAAAACCCTAAGAGAAACTATAGGTAGAAACTAAGAATTTGTTGGCCAGTTAAATGTAGCTCAAAGGGCTTCCCTGGTGGCACAGTGGTTAAGAATCCGCCTGCCAATGCAGGGGACATGGGTTCGAGCCCTGGTCCAGGAAGATCCCACATGCCGTGGAGTAACTAAGCCCATACACCACAACTACTGAGCCTGTAAGCCTAGAGCCCGTGCTCTGAAACACGAGAAGCCACTGCAGTGAGAAGCCTGCGCATGGCAACGAAGAGTAGCCCCCGCTCAACATAGCTAGAGAAAGCCTGCGTGCAGTAACGGAGACCCAGCACAGCCAAAAATAAATAAATAAAATAAATTATTTTTTTAAAAAATGTAGCTCAAAAATCCAAGATATTAACCATGAATTAATAAGAATAAGGTGGGGTCAGAGGCAGATTTAAGGGGCAAAGATGAGAAGGTTGGTCTTCAACAATTTACCTATAAAATTATGCACATGTTTTAGGAAGCTGGAGACATCCAGGAAGGGCTGGAATTTGAATAGCTGGGACTATAAAAAATGGCATTATGAGAAAAACATAGGACCAGAGACCACGCATTCAATCTGGACTGTCTCCCAGTAGTTGTGTGACTTGTGCAAATTATCCCCCCCTATAATCCCCTCATCTTTGAAGTACAGATCCTAATTAGGGCTACTCTTTATAAGACAAAGAGATATAAAATGCCTGCAGTAGACAGGCACGTTAAATATATGTAGAACTGTTGATGATGAGGATCTATTCTAATTGATAACTTGGTCCATTTGATAAGTTTTATTTTTAAAAGCTGTTTTTTTAAATAAGAATTTAAAGTACAAATATGTCAGAATTCACCATTTTTGTTAGTAATGATGAGGTCAATCATTCTAGCATTTCGATTGTAAGATTATAAAAGTATTTATTATAAAACAGTTTGTCCTAAAAATGTTTTCCGGTTTTAATACTAACTCCTTTTGATTTTGATGTTTCAAACTCCCTAGTACTCCCAATTTGGAAAAACAACCAAATGAAAATGGAATATCAGTTCAGAATGAAGATTTTGAAGAAATTATAAATTTACCCATTGGATCTAAACCATCCAGATTAGATGTCACCAACAGCGAGAGTCCAGACATTCCTTTGAATCCTATTTTGGCCTTTGGTGATGAAGGGACACTTGGGACCCTGCCTCAGGTAGATGGTGTTCAAACACAGCAAACAGCAGGTAAGCTTGCCTCGAACTCCCTTCAGTAATCATCAGAAATAAATATGTGACACCCAAGAGGGATTGAACCTTCTGCTGTGTGACTGTGACACACTTTGTCCTTAAGGGACCAAATAAGCCACGTGGAAGAGATTGTGCATGGGTCATTAGAAGTTGAATTTTGAGTTGGCGTTGGGCAACTTCTAGGGCCGCTCTTGTTCTCCCACTCAGTGTAGAAATTCGGTCCGCAGCACCCACTGGGTATCCGTGGGCCTCTCCTCACGGAGCGGCACTCATTGCCCAGTGGCAGTGCTTCATATTGCGTGCCCAGATCACGCTTCATATTAAGACAGACGACCATAACTGAGTGGCCATTGAACGTAGTTCTGTCCACTAGAGAAAAGGTTTGTTTGGTTTCTATTCCATCTTTCTCAGCTCTTCAGACATTTTAAGACTGCCAACATGTTCTCCCACCATTTTTCTCTCATTTGGGTTTAGCAACCTGGGATGATATACTATTGTCCTTTGTAAATGTAATAAGATAGTTACAATTTAAGGTAATGCGACTAATATTCCAGACTAGGAGCATACTGAGCCCAAGGGCCTTCCATCCCTTGTGGAGTGACCGTAGCTGTTGAAACTGCAAGTGACTCTCTTATACCCTGTCTCTGGAACTCACACGTAACCCGAAGTCATTGTGCAAAAAGAACAATAGCTTTACAGGACCCAGAGAAATAACAACATAAAAAAATTACCAGTGCAGTGCTCACAGTAACTCAACAGCACAGTCCCATCAGTGTCAAGAACAAGTGGGATAATCCAGCTCCGTGTCTTTTCAAACCTCTTTGATTTCTATCTGCTTCTCTCCCAGCACCTCACTTTCATGTATTGACCAGCATCTTTTTATACTGTTATGAAGAGAGCCAAGCAAATTCAGGATGTTTATAGATGAGTCGGTAAAGCATTATTTGTGGTCAAATTATTTTGTCATTTAGATTCCATCTGTGCACTTTTAACGTATTTCCCACTTTAAAACTGGTTGAAAAAGCCAACTTTGAACCTCCTATCCAAATGAAGCTAGTCTTTTTTCCTTCTCTAATATACCGACCTGGGGAGTGTAACTTCCCTTTAGTGATCTACTTTTCTAGATTGTAAAAGGAAGAAGGTCCAGCTGTCAGTGGAAGCTATAAAGCCTGACATTCTGACTCTTAAGCCTTTGAGAACAATCTGATTACCTGTGTGTCGGTGGAAACATTCCTGGTACAGCTTCCTGCTTTGTCATGTCACAGATTCAGAGAGATGGAAGGAACATTCAGATGACTTCCTGCTTCATTTGCCAGGCTTTAAATCACCTTTTGATGTACCTGTCATTTCATTCTCACTCTTCCATACCTTCTCTAGGAACATAGTCCAGTGTCTGTGATATTAAGTGGTGTTAGGTTTCTTTTGTGGCCATGACTACTTATCAACCAACATTTATGTAACCTCCAACGTATGGTTGGAACCCGAAGTATCGGGGACTGAGGATTCAAGACAAATGAATGTAAAGTCCCTGTTCTCAAAGAAAAGTACAGTTGACTTAACGCAGTTTGGAAAAGGAAATGATATATAGCCTAAGTTAAAGAAAAGGACATGTTTTCCTATTAGTGGTAGAATTCACTTACATATAAGACCACGGATCCTGATAAAATTGCCTATTCTTATATAAGACAATGTATATAAAAGCATGGTAAAGTTTTAGGAGTGTAAGATATTACTGTAGTATTCTTTAAGATTTTAGATAAATGTCATATTAATCTGTTCTTTTTTCTGTCTCCTAATATAGAAGTTATATGAGCATTTCTTCTAAAGAACCAAAGCAGAAATTTAATAAGAATTTCTACAATTAATGGAATTCCTTCCATGCTACAAAGGAGCATCTCCCCTTCCCCCGTTTTCTAAAGGTTTCTTGACCACCATTTTGAAAAGACTTTATTAAAACCAGCTAAAGACAACAGACTGGATAGCTTTTCTAATAATTTTCGCCAATAGAGAAAAAGAAATCCTCCCTTGTTCTTCAGTACTTTAAAATAGCTTTTTCCAGTGTGCTCCTTCTTAGGAAATCAATATTTTTCTGCATTCTCTAAAAGATGAGAGCATTTGGCTGTAAAAGAAATGGGTCGAGTAGGCATGATTTTTCACATAGATATTTTGGACTTTAAAAGCTAACATGTAAAATTGGCACAAAAATTTTTACCTTTTACAGTGTAATACTTGAAATATAAGTACCTCTTGGTTCAACAAGTAGAGTGAATAGGAGAGATGTTTAAATTAAGCCTGTTTGTTTAAATATTATATTGCAAAGAGCTCTATTTGTAGAGGCAGATTACCAGGTTCTTGTAAATGCAACTTGTACATGGACATTCTGCGAACCCCACTGTCCCATTCTTCTTGCATCTCCTTTTGCAAAACATACTCAACAGTTTTAAAATGTGAAAAAAAAGAACATTATTTTTTCAGAGCAAGAAAATAATTTACTGTCCTCTTAAATAATGTATTTATAAAGTTTTTTTCAGGTAAACTAATCAAATAAATTAGAACAATGTGACAACGTTGCAGAATTTGATTTATGAGATGCATTCCTTATGTTACCATGAGAGAATGTTGTTGATGATTCAGGGCTATTTCTGAAGTCTGTTTATTGCTGCTGTCCCCAGTGATGGTGGGACTTACCTTTGCCTTACCTGATCACAACTTATTTGGAGGTGGGGGAGAATAAAGATTTAATATTTCTTTAAATAAAAAAGAGAATTTGGTTTTGCTCGTTTAAGAGCAATGAAAAAATGATGGAATGTGGACTGTGTTTGGCACCCAGGACACGGCAGGATGATACCTTCATGAAGGTCCTTGTTCTGCGTGGCATCCATCAGCTTTCACCCTTCATCCTTCTTCACTTTCGCTGCTGAGCTTGGCTGTACAAACTTGCACTTTCATTCGATAATATAAATTCAATTTTATTTTACCATTTGAGAGACTACTAATAACTAAATATTGAAGGAGGGAGAACACTGAGGGAACGCATTTTTTTATTATGGGGTGTTTAAAAAAGGTAAACTTCTGCCACTAGAATGTGTTTTTATTCAAAGTGGGATTGATTAATCTAGATTGAATGAGGGGCTGTTCATTTATTGGACCATTTCCTTAAAATCCAAGCATACCGTCTTTAGTAACAGCTGTAATTTGTTAAAAACATTAATTTGGGGTTTTTCCCTATTCTCAGTTGTCCATGTACACATAGTCATATTAAAAGAAAAATCTGTTCAACCAAATTGTTTTTTTTTTTTAATCGACCTAGCATGAAACACCAAATAAAATGTGTATGACATATTTTTACTTTTAGGTTTCTCATATGTTATAACTTCACTTAGGTTGATTCTTGAGTTTTCAAATTGTTCTTCATTTAACCTCAACCAGCTTCCTCTGAACAGGCATACAGACTAGGTTGATTTAAAATTTAGAGCAGGAGTTCTGTTTTGGCTAGGTTTTCCTTTATTCATTTATATTTAACTTAAGCAATCATTAGCAAACTGAATGCCTCTAAGTAATCAAGTTTTAATTAGAAGTGGTAGAAAATTGTTAACTCTGTTTTGTTAACTACACTGCCAGAGGATGACCTTGACCTTTACGATGGCTAGAATGCTTTCTGTCCAGCCCTTGAAGATCAGTATTCACCTACTGATCTTAAAGAGGTCCTCAGTAGGCACTACATTAAGGGAAGGTCTCAGGGATCAAATATGACCCTCTCCACGGAATGAGGGTGCATGGGCTTTTAGTTTCCTTTTCCACAACATTGCAGTCTGTTTTAGGCCAGTTTAATCACCAGTCACGAGTTCATTTGGTAGATACCCTCCAGTAAAAGCTGGCAGCTAAGGCTATACGTTTCCTCCTGCATAACATCAGTACCTGGTGGTATATTATGATAAAAGCAAATCTAAAACAGAGTTTTAAGGGGAGAATGAGGGAATAAGGAGGCTGAGCAGGCCAGAGAGGTAAAAAACTACAAAAAGCTGGAAGAGAGGTGCTGGTCCATGTGAAACTCATCTGGGTTTGTTGTCTTATCAAAGTTGGGCTCCTACCGTCTTGCAGAGGGTGGGAGATGGGGCCCTATCTTCAGGTGTCAGCTGGAACAGTGTTTCTCATCCCTGCCTTTGCTAATACTGTTGCCTCTGCTAATAATACTCTCCACTTCGTGTGAATGTTTGGAGGATTCCATGAGGTCTAGCATATAAAGATCTTAGCACCATGCTTAACCCATAGTAAGCATTCGGTATTTACTAACTAAATAAAAAGACTCATCCTTCAATATTTAGCTTGTGTTTCTCCCTTCAAGAAACCTACTTTCCTCCCAGAGGCTCACTCTAGGTTAGGTGCCCTTCCTCTTTTCTAATGCTAACTCTCTGAATATGCCTCTATCATTGTGCTTGCCACAATCTATTACATTTATATTCATGATTCTCTCCCCCACTAGACTGAATCCTTGAGGGGAAAGACTTTTATTCATCTTTGTACAGTATTCCCAAATGTCCAGTGTGGTACCTGGTACCCATTAGGGACTTAGCAATGTTAATTGTTATAATGGATGGATGCGGGCATGCATGCATGAAATCCTCATCTTGACTTTTTGACAGCTTTTGAATTATTGATTAGCCCTTTATTCTGGAATATCCTTTCTCCAGTGGATTTTGTATCAAATCAGAGGTCAGTTGCGGACAACAGAAACCACCACGGTATTTCCAGCAGAGGGGGATTTAAACACTTAAAATTGTTGGAAGGACTGAAGAGCATGCTCTAGACTGGGCCCTCAGGAATGTCTCCCAGATCACAGCAGCTAGAACCCACTAGGAGAGCTACTACCTCTCCCACTCAGGAAGATGAGAATTCAGGAAGCCACCCCTGGAACCACTGAACATATTGCCTTTGCTGAGATCCAGAGATCAGGAAGCCACCACAACGGAACTTTCTGCTAGAGCCACACAAGCAAAACATGGATTCCCAGGCCTTTGCCTCTTGTCCCTCGGGAAGCTGATGTGGGAATGCTGAACACTGGCCAGGAAGGGCAGAGGGAGCCAACAGTCCCATGACCTTCTTGCCAGAAGAAGCAGCCCAAAAGTGCTATCTACATCTTTCGAGCCTCACTTACATCACCCGATTCTCAGAACCTGCATCACATCCAGACCCTCTGGTTGCAAGGAAATCTGGGAAATGTAGTTTTCAGTCTTAACACTGCAGAAAGGCATCCTAGACTCATGGTGGATTGGATGTTAAGACAGCCCCCAGAGATGAATGGATAAAGAAGATGTGGCATATATATACAATGGAATATTACTCAGCCATAAAAAGGAACAAAACTGAGTTATTTGTAGTGAGGTGGATGGACCTAGAGACTGTCACACAGAGTGAAGTAAGTCAGAAAGAGAAAAACAAATACCGTATGCTAACGCATATATATGGAATCTGAAAAAGAAAAAGAAAAAGAAAAGAAAATGGTCAGAAGAACCTAGGGGCAAGATGGGAATAAATATGCAGACATACTAGAGAATGGATGTGAGGATACGGAGAGGTGAAGGGTAAGCTGGGACAAAGTGAGAGGGTGGCATGGACATATATACACTACCAAACGTAAAATAGAAAGCTAGTGGGAAGCAGCCGCATAGCACAGGGAGATCAGCTTGGTGCTTTGTGACCACCTGGAGGGGTGGGATAGGGAGGGTGGGGTGGAGGGAGATACAAGAGGGAAGATGTATGGGGACATATGTATATGTATAACTGATTCCCTTTGTTATAAAGCAGAAACTAACACACCATTGTAAAGCAATTATACTCTAATAAAAGATGTTAAAAAAAAAAAAAAAAAAAAGACAGCCCCCAGGATCCTCCACAGCTCCTGTGGCCCTGCCGCTGTCCTGGCCCTCCTCAGCCCCAGCTCTATCCTCTTAACTGAGTCTCCCTTTTCTTCCCAGCACCCCACCCAATATGATTTTACCCTAAATTATCATCCCTTTCCCCCGAGATTGCCTTGAATAGCAATCATACCCACATTCATTTCCTAGCCCAATTTACAAATCTTAATTTCCAGCCCTGCCGTCCCTCCTAAGGCTGTTCTCTTGGTCCATGTGCCTGTCAGCTGATACCACTTGTGCATCCTGCCAGTACTTCACACTCACCGTGTCTAAAATCAACCTTATCATTCCTTCCCCCAATCAGCTCTACCTCTAGACATCCCTGTCTTTTATCCCACCACCATTTCAGTCATCCACACTTCAGACATCAGATATTCTTTTTTTATTTTACATTCCACATTCAGTCTCCAGGTTTCCCTCTTACACAACTTCTGAACTGTTTCTTTTCTGTTTGCTGCTGCCCTTGCGGCTGCACGCTGCTGTTGAAGCACCTTTTGCCTCAGAAGATTGAAAGTTCAGATACGGTTGCCTCACTTTGAAGGCTCACCCAGTTTGAATGTCACACAGGCTAATATGAAAGGAAAGCAACGGAGTCGTGTCTTAACTCTGAGCTTTTGTCTGCCCGTTCCTTGAGTTTGCCTGTTGTGGGATTATGCATGTCTAATCCCCACTCAGATCCTCAAGACAGGAAAATCCGCCCCCATGCCCACAGCTCTGCCAGGAAGTTTTTCTGATTATGGTTTGCCTGTTATCCACCTTTTGCTACCTGTATTCCTCTATCGTATCAGTGGGAGAACATAAAAAGTACGGGGCATAGGCATCTGGGAACCCGAACAAGTATGTACGTACTCATTTGTTGTCTTATGTCCACTATT